TCATTGTTGTTTGGCGGTCCGGGCTGGGGATTCGAACCCGCCACCTTAGGTGTACGTGGCTGGCGCCTTAGCCGGTTGAGCTATAGGCACCGAGCTGAAAATGTGTATTATAATCCCACCTTGTTATGAGGAATGGTTGAGTTAATATGGCCAAAGTACTTAGCTTTGTGTGCCTGGCACATTTTAAGCACTCAATATCAGTTGCTTTTCTGCTATTGTTGCTACTATTATTATGAATTACTGTTCTTGTCCTAGTGGGGCCCCTAACTTGCTGGGTGGCCTTAAGCAAGTTATTTGCTCCCTCTGGACCCCAGGCCCTTCATATGACAGTTGCACCAAGGGAGCTGGGACAGATGATAGTCCAAAGATGCCTGGAAGGGTTGTTCTTTAGGGTTTTGGTCCCCATGTCCACCCTATTCCCCTTGGTCCCAGATGCCACTCACCAATGATGATGCCACAGGTGAGCAGGGCATAGAAGGAGGTGGTCTGCTTGAGCAGCAGGTAGGAGAGCAGCACGTTGAAGACAGTGGTCAGCGAGCGGCCCACATTGTAGAAGGCCACACCGACATACTTGAGGCAGAGGTTATTGAAGGTGATCATGCTAATGAAGACCACTGACAAGGGCAGGACACTGTGGGCCACCCTAAGGTCCAGGTGCAGGGTGGGGAAGTCCACAGTACCTGGGCAGCAGGTGGCCAGTGTGCTGAGGCCCTTGCATAGCACTGTGGTCACCAGGCACTGGTAGAAGGTGACAAAGATAGGGGCGTCCAGCTGCAAGGAGGGGCTGTCCAGCAGGTACTTGTTAAGGAACACCATGGAGATGGAGGTAAGCCAGTAGAGAGAGACTACCAATGTGATCTGCAAAGCCCGCAGCAGAAAGGGCTTCTCCCTGTTGCCTTCAGCCTCTCCAGAGGCATCGGAGGCCCCGGTCAGCGCCATGTGCAGGATCCTGGACCGCTTCAGAGGGGCCCTGTTCATGGTAGCAGAGGAGCTGGGTCACACCTCACAGCCACAACTCTGATTCCCTGGAGCACAGGGCAGAGAGCTCACTTGTGCCTTCTGCAAGCCACAGCCCTCAACTGTCACATAGGGGTGGCCAAATGGCCTTCCCACGGTCCTCTGGGATGGAGAGATTCTGCTTTGGGGTGAGCCAGCTGTGCCTGGTCACAACCTGCTCCCACCCTGAGGGGGATCCAGAGACCAACACAAGGCAGCCGCGAGGGGCAGGCTGAGGTGATGAAGCCGAGACAGAGATGACCTAGGACCTAGTGGCGAGGAGACCCAGGGAGGGAGGGAGGAGAGAAGGGTGTAAGGATGGGCGGAAAAGGAGGAATGACGGGTGAAGGTGCAGGAATAGGGAGGGAGACAGGGCAGGAAAGGGCACAAAGAGAGGGAGGCATGGGCTGTTATGGAAGAGGGGGGATGGGATGGTAGGAGGCTGGGAGATAAGCAGGGAGCTGACTGAAGGGCGGGAGTGAGGGGAGGAACGCGGTTGTGGGGAGGAATCAGAAGTGCTCAGGGCCAGGGTCCGAAAAAAGCGGGAGGGAGAGCCAGGCAGGCGCAATCCCACTCTGCTTTGCCTCCTCCGGCGCCAGATCCAGCTCAGCTCTAGAGCTCCCAGACACCAAGGCTGTTCCCGGGCTAGGCGGGCCCAGGACTCATTTCCTGGCACGCCCCCGGGCCCTCCTTAAAGAGACCGCGCCTTCGGCGTTGCCCTTAAAGACACAGGCCTGGAGAGCTGACGTTCGCAAGTCCCGGCCCGGGCCCCCGCTCAGATACTGTGCTTGGCCTCGCGCTGATGGTGGGTGGCCTCTGCTGCCATGGAAGGTTTTTTTGGGCGCTTGACCCTCGTTCCGCTTCCTGGAAGGGTTGCATTACACTTCCCTGCTCACCCACAGCTTCTTATTCGCCACCCCCGCTCGGCGCGGGACCTTTCCCCCTCCTCCCGGTAGGCTTCGGGCCGCGCCCCCAGAGCCTCGGCTAGTCCCCGGGCCGAGCCCAGCCCCGCGCCCCTCTGCCAAGCCCCTCTTGCTGTTGCATTACACTGTTGTGGTCCTCTCCTTCCCCCCATTTTCGCCGCCCCTAGTCCCTCTCCCAAGCCCGAGAGCCCCGCCAGTGCTCCCAGAAGCCGGAGGCCACACCGCCTGTTGCAGACCTCAATCTGTTCGCCCTGTTTCCTCCTTTGAGACCCTCTCGGCGGCTCCAGTCCGAGCTTCCAGAGCCACAATGCAGCACTTCCTCCTTCTTCCAGAAAATACCGTTCCCCCACCGGGCCCATGCACTAGCTCTCGCGTCCGGTCTGCGCTCCTGCGCCGCGAAGACAACCAAACGCTCACCTCCTGCAGTGTACCGGGTGCCCACCTGAGCCACCCCACCCAGCACTTGCAGCGCCGCACCCAGGGGCTGCGCCCACGGGTTGACTTCCTGCTTTCGGCCCCAGGCGCGGGCACTGGGCCAGCCTTGCTGGCCTGCTTCCCACGTGGGGCCCGGGGACGGCGGCGGCAGGCCAATTACCCCGCCAGTTATGGGAGCAGGTACCCTCCTTTTTCCAACCGCCACCTTGTCCCCCTGTGTCCGGGACTCCCCACCCCCGCTCCGGCTACTGCTGCTAGCTTGTCCCCGGACTTGGCAGCATCCCTGTCCCGCTGCGCTCCCCTACCTGCGCTTCCAGAAGTGTGTGGGTAGGCCTTGAGGGGAGGGTCCTGTACCCTCTTCCAAGCATCTAGCCTGCTCTCACTCATCCGGGCATCAAGAGGACCGACTTCTGTCTGGTTCCCGCTGCAGCATCAGCATTGGGCCGGCCAACCCTCTTAACCCCCGCCCGAGTTCTCTTCGTTGTAAAACTAAGGGGCTGAGTCTCAACCTTCTTGCTCAAAACACTAGCTGGGGTGCTTGAAAGTAGGGACTGTCATGTTTGTAATATTTCAAATGCCATTTCATGAAAGATGGGGGCGATGGTATGTCTAGTATTGGCTTTAAAATACTCAGAATACTCACTAAAAAGATTTGTTTTTAAGAAGATCGGTAGATAAACAACATACTGGTAATTGTTGAAGCTGAGCATATGCACATGGGCAGCCATTAAAAGAGTTTCTTGAGGACAGCTCTCTGAGGCTCACGTCTGTAATCCTAGCACTCCAGGAGGCTGAGGCAGGTGGATCCAGGTGGATCTCTTTAGCTCAGGAGTTTCAGACCAGCCTTCTCAAGGGTGAGACCCCATCTCTACTAGAAATAGGAAAACTAGCCGAGTGTAGAGTCGCATGTCTGTAGTCCCAGCTACTTGGGAGGCTGAGGCAAGAGGATCTCTTGAGCCCAGGAGTTTGAGGTTGCTGTGAGCTATGATGTTACGGTACTCTACCAGGGTGACAGAGTGAGACTCAGTCTCAAAAAAAAAAAAATGTTTCCTTACTTTTATGTGCATTTGAAAATTTCCATTACAAAAAGGCAAAGCCCATGTCGTGCATTTAAACTCTTATGTACTAACTGCACATGCCTTTGCCTGAGCTTAAAACAGCCCTTGATGGGCCATAACAGTGGTTCTCAACCTTCCTAATGCCGAGAGCGTTTAATACGGAACACGTGACCTACAGGTTGAGACCCCCTGGGCTATAAGAAAAAGGGAGGGCTGCAGAGAAATAAATGCTGTCCAACAGACCCTGGGCAGGACCATCAGCCCCCTGAACCTTTGCTCTAGAATATATGCCCTCCCCTCTTCTCTTCCAGGGATGAGACTTTCTGCTTTCTAGTTTTGGGGGTCTCCACTTTGAGGACATTGTCTGGTCACCTTGTTATATTTTGATCCAAATATCCCTTAAGAGCAGCCGTCAAGACCCACTGGAATGTATCAAAGGGCGGCGGCATTAGGAAGGCTGAGAACCACTGCCTTAGAGAAAGACAGCACCTAAAGGGACTGAGCTGGTCTCCTAGGCTGTACCTAGAGAGTCTCCTTCCAGGGCCGCCCTTTGAAAATTGTGGGTTTCAGTTTATTGAGAACATGGCCTGCCTACTCCAATCCCTGCTCTCTTAGGCCTAATTGTTGACCATGACAAATTTAATGAATAGGGAAAACTTGTTTCTGATGACCTAGAAGGGCTCTTCTCCTTGGCACATTAATAGGAATTAATTTATCTGATGACTGTGCTGCTACCTTGAGTCCCGAGGGACGAGATATAGGCCAGATGCACTTTGCTGAGAGAGGCCTGAGGGCAATGAGCCCCCTCCCCCGCCCCTGGGCAGTCTGGGCTCTTCACAGTGGCCAAAGCACACCCCCGCCCCACCCTCCCATCTTTCTCCTTATGTTGTACTTGAAATTCTACCATTGGTGTCACTCCCTTGGATTAAGGTTGTGACAGGCTGGTATTGCAAGTTTCCCAGATTCTAATCCTTTTTATCTACTATGAGGAAAAGGTGTGGTAGGAATGTTTCTTAGGGAGTCTAAGACGTCAGGAGTTGTGTGCTTTGCACAAAATGTTTGTTTTTGAATTTTCCTTAAGGAAGTAATTATTTAAACCATCCACAGAAGGTGAAGTTTTAGGTCTTGCCAAGAGTGTGAATTTGGTGTAAAGGTCATCAATGTGGCAGGTGAAGGGCTATAACCAGTCAGGGGGTAGGTCCTTTATGGGTGTAGTCCCATTATCTTGCCTTAGCTGAGAGCCACCAATGATGTCAGTAGAAGACCATTTCTGCCAGACACAGTGAACAGAACTAACCTCCCAGGAACAGGAGACTGTGCATCTATACCTATAGGACCTGAGAACTGCTGGAAACATACAGATGTCAGCTGTCACACTCTTTAGTTCAATAGGGACTCATGAAACTACCCTATGTCATAGATATCACCGATTGTCTACCAAAATTCATTCTTCTACTTGTCCAAAATAATTGGATTGCAGCTGGTCTCATCATTGTCCAGCCAAAGACTACATTTCCTGATTAGGGTTTCATTTCAACATACGAATTTTGAGGGGAACACGTTCAGTCCATGATAGCAGGTGATCTACACTTTCTAGGTCTGGGCCTTAAACCTTTATGAATGTATTGCTCTCGGCTCTCTTTTCCTCCTCCCATGACCTGGAAACCAAATGTGTCTATAAGCCAGTCATGACCATGCAGGCAAGGACAACATCTTAGGGGCTATGGGAGCAATATGACAGAAAGAGCCAGGGTCCTTGATTGTGTGGAACAGATCCACCTGCCAATGTGGAATGCTTACCTTTAGACTGCTATATGAGGGGAAAATCAACTTCTACTTTGGATGTATAGTTGGAGTTCTAAAGGGGTCTGTTATAGTAGCTAGGCCTTTACACATACATATCCACTAGAATCTATATTCATTTCTTCCCCCACACACATTTTCTAGGCAAACCTGAGAAGTCATGAAATTGTTGATTTTCTCTCTCTGTCTTTCTCTTAGTTTCTTTCTTTCTTTTTTTTGAGACAGAGCCTCAAGCTGTTGCCCTGGGTAGAGTGCAATGGCATCACAGCTCACAGCAACCTCAAACTCTTGGGCTTAAGCAATTTTCTTGCCTCAGCCTCCCAAGTAGGTGGGACTACAGGTGCCTGGCTATTTTTTGGTTGTAGTTGTCGTTGTTTGGCGGGCCCAGACCGGATTCGAACCTGCCAGCTCTGGTGTATGTGGCTGGTATCTTAGTCTCTTGAGCTACAGGTGCTTAGCCTCTCTTAGTTTCTTATCTATATATCTATCTATTAAAATCTATCTTTCCATGCATCCATCCATCCGTCCATCCATCCATCCATGCTATCCTTATTCAGGACCTAGGACAACACCTGCCACAGCAGATGCTCAGTATCTAATTGTGGAATGAATGGAAGTCAGGCCATAGAAAAGAGTGCCTGAAAATCAGGGCCGATTTAAGAACTTGATTGACCTAAGTCCTGAAAAGTTTATAAGGCTTTTTTTTTTTTTTTT